AACAAAGTGATCATTTAGAGCATTTTCTGGATCATTTACAATCTGGCCATTTCTTTTCAGATGTATATTATTACTTTTTGAGTCGTTATTTGATCTCCTCAGAACATCATTCATAATTTTCCATGATTTTTTCATATCATGTTTGTTATTTTCTAGAATATTATGGAAATACTGTTTCTTTGCGTTGTTTTTTATTTTTGTATAAATTTTATTTGCAGATTTATAATTATTATTGTTTTCATCATTTGGGTTTTTAAGGGATTTTTTAAACAATCGATTTTTAGCTTTCAGTATCTTTTTATTTTCACTATTGAACCATGGCTTTTGTTTGCTGATCTTATTAATTTTATTATTACTTACTTGGCAGCATTTTATCATACAACATTTGAAAAGCTCGACAAATTTTACCCAAGCCATTTCGACATCCCAACAATCATATACGTCGGTCCAATCAATTTCACAAAGTCGTTTATTTAAGTTGCTGATTCGATTTGATGAGAACAAGAATTTTGTTGAAGGAGCTACGATGAGTTTTTCTTTTTTTACTTGTTTGCTGAAAGAAATTTGTGTGAGGACCGGCAAATGATCAGACAAATCACAGGCCAACACTCCTTGCAAGCACACATTCAACGAGCCATCTACAAATATGTCGTCAATAACTGATTGTTTGTTTGCTGTTATTCTGGTGGGGAGATTTATTAATTTACAAAGACCGTGCAGATCCATGATTTGTTGCAGTTGGTTATTATTGCTGTTTATATCGTCAGTTAAGTTTATGTTGAAGTCTCCTGTGACCACGATGTGTTTATTTTTTTCATTTAAACGTGTCAGGACATCATCGATTGATTCGCAAAAAGTTCCAACAGAACACGAAGGTGGTCGGTAAGCAACAACAACAACAATGTTTTTAGACTGCGCTTCATTGGCAATCTCTATGGCAAATATCTCAAGTGTTGTTGTCAAGGAGTCATTTAAATCGTGCCGTGCTTTAACGTTGTGTGTGTTTCTAACAAAGACTCCTACACCACCACCGTTTTTATTCATACGATTTTTACCGAGGTAGCAGTAACCATTCATTAAAACCATGTCCATATCACGATCTGATAGCCAGCTTTCACTGATTGCTATTACGTCAAATTTCAATTTAAACTTGTCAAGAAATTCGTTCAATTCATCAATTTTATTTTTTAAACTTCTAATATTAAAATGGATCAAACTGAAGAGAACGTCATTTTTTGAAATGTGTTTAGTGTTGAAATTATTTATTTCCTTTACATCTTCAAACATTTGACAATTACTTGTGAGAGTTTTGTTCCTTGTAACGTTATCTTCGTCATCCATGATTGGGATCGATGTTGAGGTTAAAATTGTCGTCGGTGTTTTTGTTCATTGTAGCACCATCTGGTTGTTTGTTGCTCGATTGGTTGTTTATATTGTTAATAGTTTTGTCGTTTTTATTGAAAATCCATTCACGGATTAGTACGGAGCTGGGCCAGTTTGAAGGCGACATCACCTTGTTGAATTCCGCCGCTGGTACGCACAATCTGAATGATGTAAAGCTTGGAGGATCGTCTGTGTCATTTTTCTTCGAGACAGGGAGACATGTGATGACCTTGATGCCTTTGTTCTCGCAGTGTTTCACAATCATGGTGCTGTTTGGAAGGTCAACGTTGCCCACGTAAAAAATTTTTTTCTTTATTATTTGTTTGGAAGCAGTAAAAAAAGAATCATCTGCTTGTGAGCCGACAATCTTTGAGGGTTTGTTTGAAGTATTTTTATTGTTTGCCGTTTTGTTTATCGGTGGAAGCAATCTCGATTTATTTTTTTGCTTGCTTCTTTGGACTAATGTAAAATTGTCATCAACTTGACTGTCATCTGATTGTGTTTCATTTTTCATCTTGTTAACCCAAGAAATTTTAGGATTTATAACCGGAGTATTTGTTATTTCTTTGAGGTCGTTCAGGTGGGTATTGTTGTTGTTGTACGTTTTATCTGAAATTGTTGGAGTGTTGTTTGTACATGTCAATGCAGCTGTCAACTTGTTTAGAACATTTTTATTTGTGTCCAACAATTGGTTTATTTTATTTTCAATTTTTTCGTTTTTTATGAATAAGTCCGTTAAATTAGTTAACGGATTATTTGGAATTCTTTTAATATTAAGAATTACAAAAGTTGGCAGAAGCTGAGCCATTTCATTTTCCAAAATAAATTTTAATAAATCAATAACATCTAAAGTTTTATCAATTTTAGTGTTACCTCTGGATTTATTGAACAATTTCTCTTTTTTCTCTTTTTTAAGATTTTCAATTTCATTAATCAGAATTTTTTTTGCAGCTGATAATTCTTCATGTGAAAAAAAATCAGAAACTAAATTTTGAAAATTTACTTTATCAAAATTTTCACTATTTTCAAGAAAATACCAGAGAACTTCTGAAACGAGCAGTCTTTTAGTCGCCATTTTCGTATTTTATATATATATATATATACATATAAATATAAATTGTATGCACACAATATATTACATATATACGAACGCATTGTTACATGCATATAGACATATATATATATATATATATATATATATATATATATATATATATATATATATATATATATATATATATATATTTACAATATTCTATAAATTATATATATATACATATATTTACAATATATATATTTATATATATTTAGAATATTCTATAAATTTTACCGAATGTTTGGCGTTAATATGTTTGTAGTTCGTTTTTTCGATTTTTCTCACTAAAGTTTGTTGGAGAACGTTTAGTTTATTAAAATTCAAAATAAACTTATTTTCCGAATTCATGATGCAAATAAGGCCATATTTCGATTTATATAAAGAAATATTCACTTTGTGAAATGAACTTAGATGGAAATTAAGTGTCAGATTTCTTTATTGGCTGGTCCATCTTCGTTGGTTTCCTTTTCTTCATCGATAGCATCATATTCTTTTTTGTCAATATTTACAATGCTAGTTTTACTATCTTAATTTCAAGAATTGGATAGTTTTAAAAACGTTTCAATATCTAGGGGATGTTCTGGATTATACTGGAACAGCTGAAGCTGCCGTTCGAGCACGCATACGTGCAGCCTGGGATAAATGGCATCTCCTTGCCTCTATATTGATGCGGCGTGACATCCCACTACCACAACGATCAAGACTTTATAAATCTGTGATACGTCCGGTGATGTTATATGGGACAGAAACATGGCCAATGACAACCAAACTGGAACAACAACTTCACCGAACCGATATGAAAATGCTCCGATGGATGCAACGAATTAGTCTGAAGGACCACATCAAATCAACCGAAATCCTGCGTCGTTCTGGTTTAGATGATATAAAGGACGAATGTCGGCAACACCGTTTGCGGTGGTTTGGTCATGTCAAACGAAGTGGAAGCAGTGCCATAACTTCTCTTGCAGATGTTGAAATACCTGGCACACGTCCCAAAGGCCGTCCAAAGAAGCCCTAGTCGCAAACAATCGAGCAAGACATGAAAGCTCTAAATTTAAATGAAATGGATACAACTGATCGCCTAATTTGGCACAAAAACATTGATGGTGAAGGAAACAACGTCTTACTTCTGGAAAACTGGGTTCCTGGGCGCTAAACGAAGATTGATTGATTGATATATCAATATATTTAACTTAAATATTCATTATCAAATTGAAAAAAAAAATTACATTTTGTTCCTTTAGAAAAAGTGTTTGCAACTCAGATTTCGATAAAAATGTGTTGTTCTCCGAGTACCTTCAATAAGAGGTAACAAATGAGAGGAAAATATTGACAAAATAAATGTTGATCATAGAGATTTATGGTAATTTAAACTCAAAAAAAATTAGAATTTACAATTTGATAACGCAAAAACGTTTTTTCAGAAAAACAAACTTTGAAAACAATTCCTTAATAAACTTTCTTGACTGAATTTTCTGGATTAATTCAATAAATTCTTTCCTATTGATAAATTCCTTTTGCATCAGCTGAAAATGTATTTAGAAGTTATAAACGTCAGTTTTACTATTTAAACATCCTTCCAACTAAATAAAATTAGTGTCACATCCTCCAGGTTAGAGGTGGACATGGGAATGGAAAGAAAAAAAACTTGTATATCCTTTACTTTATAACGTAGCTTGTCAAATTTTATGCATACCAGCAACTTCATCTGCTAGTAAACGTGTCTTCAGCATTGCAGGTCGAATATTAGAGAAAAGAAGAACTACATTACCAGTGAACAGTGTTAAAAATTTATTTTTACATAGCAACATTTAATTGCTTAGTTATAACATGTTTCTAAATAAATAATTTTGACTGCTTATTTTGGTATTGTGTACACTTTTATAAGAAAAAATCGTGTTGTTGATCGGGAGGGAATGGTACGGAGATGAGAATAGCTCTTTGGGAGTGGGAGGGAAATGGGAATTGGTTGGTAAATTTCGTGGGAATGGAAGGGAATTGGAATGAAAAAGCCATTCCCGTCCACCTCTACTCAAGGTTAAAAATTTAAATAAATTTGAATTGTCACAACTTCTTTCCTTCCTTTATACAAAATATGGATCATATTCAACAAAAGTTAATTTTTATATATAAAGCATCGCTCCTTATCTATTGAATTATCGTCATACATACATATATATATATATATATATATATATATATATATATATATATATATATTATATAGCGCTAATTAAATAAAAAAATCACAAAAGCACTCACATAAATAAAACAGTATACGAGTGAAAAATTAAAGAAAAATACTAAATGTTAAACCAAAAAAAATAAATGCGTTTTTAAATCTTTTTTAAAATTGTTCAAACAATTTTCAGGTCTTCTTAGCACCTCCGGCGTTCCAAACCATCGGGCCAGCAACAGCAATGTCACGCAATCCTGTACCATCAAAAGGTTCATATCATCTGATCTCAAACTGAAATTCGATGTGGTTGTTTTTTTGACAAATCTACTGGACAAATTTTCTGGAGCCAGGCAATTTAACGATTTGAAAACTATGACCGCTATTTTGAAGATTATCCTCTTATTGATTGTCAACCAGTGCATTCAAAATCGGTGTAACGTGATCGAACCTCAGCCCACCTACCACTAGTTTAGCCGTACGATTCTGGATTGATTGTAGAACTGCTACTGACGTCTGGGGCAGCCTGTAGAATAAACTGTTGCAGTAGTCGAGACGGGATGTTATGAGAGCGTGTACTAATGTTTCTATGCTACTCCTGTCTAAATAACGTCTGACTCTGCACAAGCCCCTGATGTGAGCCATACTAGCAACTGATACGTTTTTTATGTGTTCTTTCATTGTGAGATTAGAATCAACCAAAACTCCCAAATTGGATGCAGTCGTGCCAAACAATATATCAATGTTGTTTACTTCCACCGAGTGCATATCTAGCTTTAACATCTGCTGCCAAGTGCCAACCGGGAGCAGTTGGGTTTCGCACTGATTCAACTTAAGCGAATTGCTGGACATTCAGTGTTCAACATCGGTCAATCATCTGATAAACCTATCAATCTCTCTATGAAACACTTGCGGCCGACCAGTAACAATCATCTGAACATCATCAGCGAACGCGTGGCAGGTGAATCCATGTGAATTAATCATCCAATTGGAGTTGGAAAAGTTTTTCAAGTTTTCTGCACTGAGTTTATAATACTTTTTGTAATATTTTGCTTTCCGATAATCTGCATCAAACCATGGAGCTGTATGACTTCCATTTACTTACGAAGAGGAATTAATCTGTCAACTATACTTCTTAGTTCATTATCAAACAACTCAGCATCAACATCATTCCCTTGGCATGAACTTGCAACAGCTGAGTTTATAATACTTTTTGTAAACTGATCTTCGTCTAGATCTTTCCAAGACCGAGCAAATTTTTTAACAAAATTACCACACGTTTGAGCAATCTTTATTTTGGCCTCTATACAACTATGATCAGAGAATAACTCGGATAAATTGTTATCTCAGGAACAGGGAAATCACGAGAGCTAACCATCAGATCTAGTGTGTCACCAAGAGAATGAGTTTACCTTTTACATAGCTGACCAGATCAAACATGTCGAATATTTCTAACAAAAAAATATGGAACGCTTCCCGAATTTGCGTGTCATATATATATATATATATATATATATATATATATATATATATATATATGCGATTAAATTTAAATTTGTTGATGTTGAGTTAATTTTGTTTGTTATCTATCGACCTGGATCTGATCCGGTCAATCCGCTGTTTTTTCAAGAGCTATTGACAGTTTTGGAGCAGTTGTCTTTGTTGTGTGATGAGTCGGTTCTTCTTGGTGATTTTAACATTCATGTTAAAAAAATGAATGAGCCTAATTCAGTGTCGTTGTGTAATTTGTTTAATGTTTTCTTTGTACAATATTAGAAAAGAGGCTACACATATTTTGGGTGGCACTCTTAACTTAATTGTGCTGCCACAGGAAATGTGTTTTTCTGATTGTTGTGTGTATCCAAGTGGGATATACTCCGATCACGGTCTTGTGTCAGTTTTGCTGCCTATTCGAGTTGCGACCAAAAAAATTATTAAAAAACAGATCCGATACTGGAATCGTGTTGATACGGATATTTTTATTTCTATGATAAAAAATTCACTAATTAATGATTTTAAGCATGATGATGTTGATGAAGCGGCGTTCTTATTTTATCGAGAGTTTCAAATTTTGGCTGATAAGCTTGCGCCATTGCATGAAATTAAGAAAAAATTTAAGTCACAGCACCCTGGTATGATAGGCAATGCAAAGAATTAAATCGCATTTGTAGAAAATATGAACTGAAGTTTAAAAAACGTAAAGGCGATGAAGATAAAAAGCAATGGATTGATTCATCTAAAAACAAACATAAAATTTTGTGCTTATAAAAGAGTCGTTTTGGACCAGTGTAATTGAAGCAAATAAAAATGATAATAAGAAACTATGGCAGAATATTTTATGCAGAGGATTTTATGTGGAAGACCGCTGATGCCTCAATAGGTTCTGCACTGGTAGCTGAGAATTTTGTTAAATATTTTGGGAACAAAATTCTGGATATTAAGAAAACAATAAAGGTTCATAGCAAACTATCTTTTATTGGGAACAAAATTGACTCAAATGTTTTTACGGATTTTTCCAGTGCTCAGATGCCTGTGTTAGACCGATTGTTGCGAGTTCTGCATCTGCAACCTGTGGGCTTGAACGTATACCCACTATGATGCTTAAAAAGCATATTGATTTATTTCTGCCATACTTAACGGACTTATTAACCTATGCTTCTCTACTGGCAAATTTCCTTCTGTGTTTAAGCATGAAATAGTGAAACCACTCCTTAAACATCGGTCAAATAATGTTGATGACTTCAAAAGTTATAGACCGGTGTCAAATTTGTTGACTGTGTCAAAAGTAGTCGAAAAAGTTATG